TGCTGAAAACAAGGCTTATATAGTGTGTTTTTGGTAATAGTTAAAATATCTAAGGGGCATTTAAGTCATTAGAAATGGGGCCAAACAGCTTCGTACATAATCCATTTTCGAAAGCACCTGGGAACCAACTTAAGAGATTATTGCTAAAATGGCTTAAGTCTTATCCATCCCTCATAATTTTTACCAAACACTCCAACATGACTTATTTTAAGCTATAAGTTGATTTAAACTATAAATAAGTTTTACCAAACACCCACGTAGATAGATTGATATTTTTAATAAGAATTTATATTTTTTTTAATATAAAAATTAATTTTTTTAGATTTTTTATAAAAATAATTTAACATCTCATCACTAACCATAGTGTATGAGAGAAGTTGAAAATAATGTAACAGTAAATATAAGAAAAGTCAAAAGGGCTTGTGAGTTAGGAGAAATCAATAAATGCTGAGATATTTTTTCTTTAAATTAAAAAATTAAAAAGAGAAATTTAGCCAAAACCCCGTTATTAGACCATTGTTTAGTGAAAATGACAACCCAATTTATTTTTTTAATAAACCCCCTAAACAGAAAATACATAATTGAGTAAAAACAAAGTAAATATATATATATATATATATATATATATTTTCCCTTTCTTGAACAATATTACCAGAGTAACATGTTACAGTCAAACAGAGTAACATGTTACTGTCAAATAGAATAATTGTCAAACAGAGTAACATATTACTATGAGACAGAGTAACATGTTGTAGTCAAACAAAGTAACATTTTATTGTTACTGTTTACATCAATTTTAACGCTAATAATTTTTTTTTTTAAAAAAAAGAATTTCATAGTCAACATAGATTTTATTTGATAAATCTTGATGAGAGAATTCTAAAAATATTAATTATATTATTTTAAAATATAATACTTTGATAATAGTGATATTTATTCGACTTTTCAAATAAAATTTATTGTGCTTGTCTCTAATATATTAAAATTTTTATTACAAGTGAGTTTTAGTCAAATCCCACAATTAAAAAAATTAAAATTAAAATATTAAAACTTTCACAAAACTTGTGCGTTACGTAATATATAGATAAATAGCAGCAAGATGTACTTTGACGAAATTAACCTTAGAAAGCATGCCTCGTGGAAACGCGTTCCAAGGGTAAAATTTCACGTGTCCAACGTGTTTTTGCTTCAAACCTTGCTATTGTTCTCTATTATCAACTAATAATAAATTTCCAATAAAAAAAAAACTAATAATAAATTTATATTTTTCAAAATATAATTATTTTACCACTTATACATGTATTTGGCTTCAATTTTTTTTAATGAATGAAAATTTTATAAGTTTGGCAAATTATAAAAGATTAAAAATCTTTTCAGATTTAAATTTGAGTCAATTATCAAGTAAATGTGAAGAAGGATTTTTTTTATCTCAACGAAGAGCACTTTTACAACTGTCAAGTATAGAGAAAAATAAATAAAAAAGAAAAAAAGAAAAAAAAAAGGATGAAAATGATAAGGTAAAATGATTGAATTAACAATGGAATTACAAGTGAAATAACAATAAATTACATCTACTCTTATTATTTCGAAATATAAGTGTGAGTAAATGAAATGCAAAGTTATATATAATCTTAATATAAAAGGAATGACAGAAATATATTTCAATTCTCTTTGATTTGGTGCTGGGGAAATCCTTTACAATGTTATCTTCATATGAGAGTGGTTATTAAGAAAAAGGTTGAGTTTCTCTTATACTAAGATTTTACTATAGGAGAATTTGAGAGGCTTGTAGGATTCATCATGAGTCTCGTTTTGATGATTCGAATCACAATTTTTTATGAAAAAAATTTAGGATGATCCAATAATCGTAACCCTTTCATTTTATCGTATTTGTATTTGAAAAAATAGACGGCAAATACATTTTTAAAATTGACAATTTATTTCTCTACAGACAAATGTGACAAAATGAAAGGGTTACGATTATCGAATCACCCTAAAGTTTTTCATAGTGGATTTGTTTGGGATATGGGTTGGCTTTTTGACTTTTTGAATTTTTTAGTCTGGGGCTAAAAAGCCTCATTTGGGATAGATTTTTTGATTTTCGTGAGAGAAAAAATAAAATAATTATAAGTTGGATGTAATGTTTCGCGTTATTAGGCTAAAAAACCTATTTTGTCTTTTTGTGGCTAAAATAATTAAAAAGTCAAAAAGTCTGACATGTCAAACGAAGGAATCGATAGCCTTACAAAATAAATCGTTTGAATCATTAAAACGAGACTCATTGTAAGTCTTACGAACGCCTTAAATTTTCTGAAGTAAAGAAGTGCAACCTTAAATAAAAATCTTCCAACAACTAGACTATGAAATAACTACCTAATATTATCCACTCTCCCATCTTCATTTCACAACACTACAAGAATTAAAATTTTTAGCAACAAAAAAATTGGTCGTTAAAAATCTATTTTTGGTCGGAAAAAGTTATCCGCGACCAATTTTTTTGGTCGCTAGTTTGGTCGCCAATTGAGGGTCGGCAAAAGTAATTTGCGACCAAAATTTTCGTTGGTCGGCAAAAGTTGGATTTGCCGACTAAATTTTTGGTCGCTAAATATTTAATTACCGCGACTAATTCATTTTGTCGCTAAAACACTTTGGTCGCGAAAAGTTCCATAATAAACCTATAATTTTAAAGCATCATTCAAATTAACGGATGCTGTAGGGGCTCAATACTCCAGAACTATTTTATCTTAATATATTGTTATGCTTTGTTTACCAAAAAAGAAAACAAGGTGTGCAAAACCTCTCTAATAAATAATATCAAAATTTTCTTTTATTTCTTTCTCAAGCTATGTAAGGGCACAAGTTCATAGCATATTCATCGTCATGTGATGAATGTGTCAGGAAAGAAAAAATTATAGAAAAATAAAATATATTTTTACAAAATTTTCTCATAAACTAATGTAACATCAAATAATAAATTTTAAAATTTTAACATAAAGCCAAGCTCTTCATATCTCATGTCAATCCTCATAATCATAATCCACACCATAGGCTCCGCAGCTTTCAACACCTTCACCGTAATCAGTCTTGTGGTCAAATTCATTATCATACTTTCTTATTTCAGACTCAATCTGTCGGTGCTAAACTTCTTGTTAAACTTTGTATCGCATTTTGCAATTATGCCTTCCGTGTTGGCATTCTCGGCACCTTGGCTCTGTAAAGACATTGAAATGGATGTATAGAAATACATTAGCCAACTCTCAGTGTAGCTTTGTCTCATAGCAAGTAATAAATTTCAGATTAATGGAACAAATATAACAGTAAAATAACATGGCATCATATTGTAACTTGATTTGTTAGATTTGAAATTGAGAATTCATGTAAATATGATGAATAATCCCACCAAATGATTATTTCAATCCTTCCATCTAACTTGAGCCAAACACACGCGGCTTATCATCATACAATTACCTGTTTTAGAAACTGTATTTGAAAAAAAACATTAGAAAATGACAATGACGACTGTATTTTCCTCCACGTCTCGTTTTCATTTATAAAAAGGGCTGCAACCTTCATTGGCAGGAAGAACTGAAGTTTCCTTTGTTAAGTGCGCCATTGAATTACCATAGGGCAACGTTGGTTGGAGTCATTGCAATGGAGCTGAAGTCTTGTAAAATTCAGTGGGAAGGTAAGTTTATATTCAAGTGACCATTAACTTGAGGTCGAGACCATTTGTGTTGTGGGGATTGGTATTTGTCAATTTGTTCTACCCTTCCAATTCTTATTTTTGATTTGTTTCCATCACTAACCAAACCAAACTGGCCCAATACACATCGGTTGGATTTGGTTATTTAGTTTTCCCATTAACTATGGTGCATATGGCCACAAAATGGATAGGTTTGGCTCACATCTCATAATCAAACCATAAAGCACTTCCGAGAGTACAAAGAATGCGGCATTGATGACATACTAGGAGATTTATCTCTGCAGCTAATAGGGTATTCCATGAGCTTTCAGCATTTCACATGCTATGTAGTATATGAACTACCGACATTTTTCTACTATATAAGTTCAGAACTCTGAATTAATGTTTTCTCTCTCCCCCCTATGGTTATTTAGATTTTTTATTCAAATCATTTCAGTGCAAAAAGTGGTGCTAATAGAAGAGACAAAGTGAACGGATGTGAGGATCCTCTGAGGTGCAAACTAGAACAGTTTTACGGTGAAATGTGGGTTAAATATTCCTACCAGAAAATGAAGCAGGACAGCGTGTCTCAATCTCCTGAGTTTTACATGCTTCAATTGAATTGCACTCTTTGAGATCAGACAAATGCATGTATTCAATATCTAACTTGGCAACATATTCAACAATACAACAAAGGGCTTTACATGTGTTTATTTGTGTAATCAGTACATTCAAAGGACTCCACATCTAAACTAGTGCTCGTTCTTCTATGATTTTACTTACAGAAAGACTATAGCAGTCAAAAGGCCGTGAGTACAATAAAACAAATATTATTGGTTTTGTTGTCAAATCAATTTCATCTCATTAGCTACATATCATGGGTATTTACAGCATCATGACTATTAACCAACTTTTGGTCCAAATTACCTACACTCAAAGAGGGTAATATCTGAAAGAAAGGAACAAAGAAAAGGCAGCATTACCGCTTCATGTTTACTATTCATTTGTTCCCAAATAATCTTTTTGTAATGCATCTCTTCCTTACTGTGCAGATATTTGTCAACCTGTAAAAAATTTGACATTGTTTCGAAGTTATAAATTCACTGATCTGATAAGTCAATCAGGTAACATTTACCAATTAAGTCAAGAACACAACTTGCTTTAAAACTTGCAGCATACCTCAACATCATCGATATCCGAAAGGCTTTCTGACTCGTCAATTGCTGCCATTCTACTCAGATGCTCATATCTATGCAGCTGACCAGATACCTTGTTACCATCTTGGCATTCATTAGAAGCTCCTGAAACATCAGAATGTTACTTTGACTTAGGCTTTCAAGTTTAATCCCTAAAATAATGCATGACAGGAATTTCATGAGAACAATTCGTTACCCTTTTGGGTATTCAAGAATCCACTTCTTACAGATATTTTTGCATATTCAAGAATTTCATGAAAAATGAAGGAAGTTGTAACTCAATTATCTGCAATATCGGCCAGCAAGACCATGGAAAAAAGAGGGACATTAGCCAGGAATAAATAGATAAAAACAATATCAATTTCCAACTTAAGTGATTCTGTTTAGACATACTTAAGTATGCCATGCTAACGGAAACCAAATGGGTCAATTAGATAACATGGCTCGAATCTTATGTAAGCTGAAAACTAAAAAATTTATTTCCATTGATACTATTACTTCATTTCACTTTCAGACCTTATAAAACCTTCAAACAGGAGGAAAACATAACTAAGAATTATGTCCAAAATTATACATTAATTAAAGCCATACCTAAAATAAATTGGAGTACTCTGTCATCAAGGCCCATTTGTTCCAAATTATACATTATAAACCTGATAGCAGCATTTTAGCACTAGTGCAGCCATAACCTCTATCTTTAACAAATTAACCGAAGTGAAACGCAAATGCAATCTTCATTTTCTTATTTCAATTTTATTTCTTTAAAGCTTGAAAGTTTATTTGACCAGTTATCCACACGATTTTGCGCATTACATCCAGATGAAATGCCTATTGACAACATATAATCTTTCTTTCTTACTTCCTTTCCTTTCTTTTTTTTTAAAAAAAACCTTTTTTGACAACTATTATAATCGCACATGCAACAACCCTCTTACACCATGCTTCCCACAAATTTTCACAAAGTGTGCTGCAACCAGTCACTGATAAAGCTCTATGCCAGCCATTTGAGTTGGATGCAAGTTTACCACTAATATGTATCAAAGACAAGCTATATCATAAGCTTTCTAAGTTTTAGTTCTAGTAGTCACATATGGTAATAAGCAGAAGAGTAACAGTATGCACCGATATCCTTTTGATGAAGAAATTATGGTTGGCGATACCTTGGGCAGTAAAAAACATGAAATGTGCTCTTGGTGGATACAGCATTGCCCACGAGAGAAAGAACGCTTTGATAATTTTGGTTACCGAGAACTGAATCAGGAAGACCATTTCGTGGTCGAATAGAGCATAAGAGAGATTACAGACAATTCAAGTATGGATAGCACCACCTGCACTTGTTAAAAGGTAAAAAAAAATGTTATTAATGCAAGAACACATTAATTATGTAGAAACAATAAATAATAAAATGAAGTAGTTGTTTTACCACCGACAAACTATTCATTATTACTTGTGAAGATCAACTACATCCTTCTTAGAGGCATTAACAATGCAACTATATAATTAAAAATGCCTAATAATGTATTTAGCAAACTAATAAAATAAATTCTCAACATTTTGCATGATAGGGACCTGAAATCATTGTGTGAGAATTTTGGATTCTATGATTTTGAATGGGACAACAACTAACTACTAAGTAATATATATTCAAATGAAAGCTCTCTGTTAGACTATTACTAGGTAGATCAATGCATGATAGGGACCTAGGATTCTAGGACTCTCTTTGCTACTGTTTACTATTGAATGAATTAAAGAGGCCTAAAAAAAACAGGGGCAAAAAAAAAAACAAGGGCTGGGCTGAAGTCACCTTCTTGTTGCTGTGAAAAACAAATGAAATCAACTTCGACAAAAGGGAGGAAATCGACTTCGAGTGGCTCTTCTTGCTGCACTGCAAAAAAGAAGAAAAAAAAAATGTAAAAAACCAAGAAGAATCAAAGAAGAAATGAAGAATAAAAACGATGAAGAAGAAGAATCGAACAAAGGACATTCACCGGAGTTTACTCAATGTGTAGCATTTTGGGCTTGGTTGTAAGAGTAACTAGGTTAGGTTTGTTATTTTTAAGTGTGTGTTCGAAGATTGGCTTGTGCAAGTTGTTCCATTACACAAAGGCAAAACTGCAAACGTGCCTGAAAGATTGAAAAATTGAAAGGTTAATTTGAAATTCTAAATTTGCTTCCCTCCTAACAGAAGAGTTTCAAGCTGTCAACTTTATGGTAAATATGATGGGGAATAAAAGGGAAAAACTTATCGACAACCTTTGGAAAACAAAACTTGATTTAGCAATCAACCAATGTGAAGATCATGAAACCGAAATGGCAAAATCTGCAGAACAGTTGCAGCTTATATGACTCCTCGAAAAATTGCAAACCTTCCAGTGATCAAATAAATAGATATAATCATATAGATATTAAAAAATAATAATAATATATGTCTCCGTTATTAAAACCAATACTTAGATCTCCATTGCTTAAATGATTCTTTTCTGCAGAATTTAGATCTCCATTGGACAAATCAGCGAGCATACTAGGCAGCTCCTTTATCAGTTTCTCAACCTGCATTTCAAAAAATCAAATGAAGATATTAAAAAATGACCATGAGTCATTGCAATAAACCAACAGAATCCCACAGTTGGTGGAACAAAGCCTAAAGGTTGCAAATGCACATGAAAGCATGTTTTCGTTTAAAGTATCCAATTTATACAGGCTTGCACCCCCTTTGACTCCTAATAATTTTTTTTAACTTTTAGAAGGAAAAAAAAAAATAGAGAGAGAAGGCTCTTCTGATTTTTAAGAAACTGTAGGTTGAACCAAAAAGAAACAAAAATTAAAAGAAGAAAACTCGAATTACAAATATCAGATATCGCATTTGTAATTAGGAAACTAGTAACTAAAACCTTCAACTCAACTTGGCCTATCACAATTAATTGGCTTTGTTGTATTAAGTTTCTCAACTATCATACAAAAACCATAGTAAGATTAAGAATTTCATTTGTCCACAGTGAAAGCAATGCCAAGGGACCAGAATCAATGTGGTTAAGATAGCACGGAAAGACATTTCAGCATATGGTTTAACTTAATATACAAATATTGGGAACAAGGATTTGTTAAATTGATTGTAAGTTTAGAATTATTTTCTTGGACCTTTGAACAAGCAAACAAATGCAATATTTATGGCAATATCCGGTAACATAACTACAATAGCGATGACTCAAAGGAGAAGAAAAGGCAAAAGTGAACCTACAAGAGAGCCCAAGCATGCTGTAGTAACAGGGCAACCTTCCATGTTCAATAGAGAGAGCTTGTGCAAACCTGCAATGCACACAGATACCAAATATTTCAGTGGAAAAGTTACAAAATTTGCCATACCAAGAAGAAAATGAAACCAAAACTGACCACGACAAGTTCCTAAATGAAGCATTATCAAATCTCAAACAAATATTTTTGAATGAGAAATTTCGAATCTTAAACATATATTTTTGAATGAGAAATCTCAGATCTGAAACATATGTTTTTGAAAAAGAAATTTCGAATCTCAAACATATTTTTGAATGAGAAATCTCAGATCTGAAACATATGTTTTTGAAAAAGAAATTTCAAATCTCAAACATATTTTTGAATGAGAAATCTCAGATCTGAAACATATGTTATTGAATAAGAAATTTCGATAACATGCATTGGTGCTTCAAACTTCAAATCTTACCTTCTTGAGGGGGAAAAAGAGATGATCTAGTCTCAATAACTGTAGCTGGGTTTAGATGTAGCGGTATAGACGATATTTCCATCAAGGAACAAGAAGAACCCCCAAAACACAACAATCTAGGGCTTCCTTCACTGTTCGAACTCAGATCTCACAACATAGTCAAGCAAGAAAAGAGTTGATCCAAACCCTAGGAGAAGAATCAACGAAAGGAAGATCTTGAGAGAGAGAGAGAGAGAGAGGATACGAAACTGAGATTGTAGACGGTGGCGCTCACCTTTGTAGACGATGCAGATGGTGGTGGCAGTGGAGCTTTGAAATCGTGACAGAGAACTTCGAAATCGAAATCACCAGCTGAAGAAGGTTGAATCGTAATATCTGAGACCGAAGGGTTTTAGAGAGAAAGAGAGAGTGAGCGAGTGAATGAGAGATTTGAGGGATCGATAATGAAGGTTTGAAGAAAGAGAGAGGTTCTAATTCTCACAGAGCTGTGAGAGAGAGAGTGGGAGTGGGATAACATGGTGAGACATTTGAAGGCGTTTAAAAGCGACTTGTATTGTCAAACGGTACCGTTTTAATTAAATCAAAACGCGACGTTTATAAAACGTCGCTAAATAGTAGAAAAAGTGACATTTATAAAAATGTCGCTAAATTAACGCCGTTAAATCCCATTTTTCTTGTAGTGTTTGTTTAGATCAATTCTGTAAC